AAAAAATATGTAGACGAAAATTCACGTATAGTTAATTTTCTTTTTCCAAAGGGGGAGGGATGTCGTAACCCGACCAATCTCTAAATATATTAAAAGATAAAACAATAAAGTAAAACAGAAAAAATTAAGAAAGAGTAAAGCAAAGCATTAAAATATTAGAAAAGAGATCAAGGAAAGATAATTAAGAAAGAGTAAATAAGTAATAAAAGATTATTAATAAAATAAAGTAAAGATACGTGACTAAAGAGAAGGAAGTCACGGTCAAGTTCTCGGAAGCTGAGTAAGCAGCTGACGAGACAGCTGACGAGCGGAGCACGAGACATGCTCCGGTCAGGGACACCACACTCCTCCCAAATCAACGACCTAATTAATTAAGATATATAATAAGCGCGAGATGCACCGACGCTCGCTACTCGCTCACTACTCGCTCGCATATATCGATAGTATCGAAGTACCGTACGTATCGCGCCCGACTATTATAATCGCGAATATGTAAAAGTGTACCAAAACCTGTGAAATATATTAATTTATACCTAACGTCCGGGAGTGTCTTATTTCGAGCGTGGATCCTAATCCTTTGGGCGTATAAATCCCTAAAGACCTCTTCCTTAGCGGCTAGAGGCACAACAGTGCTAACAATCTAGATTACTTAGAAAACGGGAGGTCAACTCCTCTAGCGAGCAAAAATCGAACCTAATTAATACAGCCAATTGTCCTCAATGCGATACATGCTAGTATTGCTACAATGTGCTAATAGACGGTACAAGAGAAGGGACTCATGAACGACGATTCCAAAACAATCGACCAAACTCTAACCAATTCGGGCCGAACCATTTGTCGGAGCGGAACGTGCCCTCAACAACCGTTTCTTGAACCAAAGCTCAATACTAACCGCGCGAACATGCATCTATACTATGCACGAACATACGTTGCTACACGGCCGGCATTTACCTCAGCCACGATACTAAAGCGTTTTAACATCGCCCTTGCATTAATATATTAAATTTATTAAAACATAAATATTTATATAATATATAATATTAATATACAGGGTGACTTGAAATGATCGCCCACTAAGTACATAGCGTTATTCCTTACCAAAAACTGAGATAAAAAATCCTGAGCTATTTTTTTTATAACGCTTAATAAAGGAGTTATTATTGAGTAAAGTCTGGCCAATCAACGACCTTCATTGCCGGCTAAATGGGATGTCTCTCAGCGTTGCAATCTTTAATATATTAATACCTATTAATATAATTAATTTTATATTAATATCAATTAATATTAATACTACAAGGTGACCCGCAATGACCGCCTACTAAGTACATAGTGTTATTCCTTACCAAAAACTGAGACGATAAGTCCTAAACCATTTTTTTTTATAACGCTTAATAAAGGAGTTATTATTGAGTAAAGTCTGGCAAATCAGTGCCGATCTTTAGCCGGGCGCATGTCGGTGAGCCGCGCGCCTGGTGTGCGGCGGCACGCGGCTCCACTGCGCGCGGCTCACCGACGTGCGCCCGGCTAAAGATCGGCACTGATTTGCCAGACTTTACTCAATAATAACTCCTTTATTAAGCGTTATAAAAAAAAAATGGTTTAGGACTTATCGTCTCAGTTTTTGGTAAGGAATAACACTATGTACTTAGTAGGCGGTCATTGCGGGTCACCTTGTAGTATTAATATTAATTGATATTAATATAAAATTAATTATATTAATAGGTATTAATATATTAATGATTGCAACGCTGAGAGACATCCCATTTAGCCGGCAATGAAGTATGATTCTCGATTACAATCGTGAAAACAGGATAGAGGTCCAACGCGAAGACGCGACGATGCGAAAACTTGACAACGCGACGCATCGTTACTCGTGCGGCATGATGACGGCAATGAGGACGCATAAATGCGCGTGTCACATATGAGCCATTGTGCGACTCGTGGCAATGCTGTGCTGACACCGACGCGAAAGACGCGAAAGCCGTCCGCAGCACGATGATGGCACTGACGACGCGACAAGCCGTCCGCGGCACGATGATAGCAACGACGACGCTGGGTATTTGGTTTTCCCCTTCACAGTAAACCTTTATGACGCTTAGAACCTTAAGGCACCGTCAGGTACTTAAAGCCATTCCACCTCGTCAAGGTGTATCCATGGAAGGGTTATATTATACAACATATAATTTTGTAATATAATATTTTTTTAAAAAAGGTAAAAAAGGTTAATTTTTAAAACTTTATTTTGGTCTTAATTTCAAATGTTTTATTGTGTATAAAATATTTGTGCTATGTTTACAGTTCGTGGACGAGATTCTGGATTTCTTCATTCTCCAAAATATTATAATTAACAATAAATTAAAAACACTTAACAGAAAATGTGCGCGATTGAACGCGAGCGCGAGGAACGAAATGACTCGAGACACGCAATGTTACTTCACAACTTAGTCAGTCTATATTTAAAGCAATAAATATATGTACAAGTTCGTAACGTTTAAATTACTTCGTTAAATTTACTCTCGTTTCGCGTCAGCTAGCGACCGACCATGAAATTTGAATCCGCGAGCGACGGGACGATCTCGGCTCTAATATTCGCGAGCGACGAATAATTAGCGACGGAGAGATCGCGAGAGTGATATTCACGAGCGATGAATATTCTCGAAAACTGGCACGAGCGATGCCGCGGGCCGGGAGCGATTCGCGTAACGCCGCTTTTGGAGCGCGCTCCTATTGGTCGCGCGCCGTGCGACGCGCGAGATGGCTGCTAGAGCGCCAATTTTCGAGTGCGCTTAGCCGCTCTTCGTTAGCGCTCTCATTTGGTCTTATAATTGCTCTAGTTTTTATGACCGTTGGTTCGATTTCGAACATTCCGCCCGCCTCGTATTGTGGAACGTACGAAGATCATCTGCAGTCAGCGCGTGCTGATTTAACACCGCCATGGTCGGCGCGTGACCACGCGGCGCGGGCGTGACGCTGAATCGGGCGAGCGGCCGGCGGGACGCGGTATGGTGCTGTGGAATGCGCGTTCCATTCACGTTTTTCGGCTACAGTTGATCTGCGTAATATCGCACGTGTGTTACGCCGATATAGCGAAAGTTTCGCGACTCCTTCTTGTGCGGTGTCTGGTGTGCTTTTGACTGTGTGTGTGTGTGTGTGGAGTGGAGTGTGTGTTTCGTGTAGCCGTATTGAGTGGTGAAGTGTGCAGTGTCAAATGTAAGTGTGGGCTTCGCATAAATTTATTTCTACGGAAAGTACAATGATTATGGTTTTTTGTTTATGCGTCGTCCTCCGGTGCCGTACAGACCGGGAGGAGGATAATTTTTGATAGCGGTCGCTTAAAGCTAGAGGTGGCCGTGCGCACGACCCGGACGACCCCGTCCTCCCCGGGGTGCACGCGTTCGATCCTGGCGAGGGGCCACTTATTCGGCGGCGTCGTCTCGCACTTTAGGAGGCACAACCTTCCCTCGCTGACTTCCCCGTCGGCTTTGCACCATTTTGGCCGGTGCGTCAAAGACTGGAGGTACTCCCGGGTCCACCGACTCCAGAAATGGTCTCGCAGCTGCTGCAGATGTTGCCACCTGGATAATCGCGTCGGGGCTTCCATGGCGAGGGACGGCTCCAGGACGGCGTGGAGTGCTGTGCCGACGAGGAAGTGACCAGGCGTAAGCGCTTCGAAATCCTCGGGATCGTCCGACAAAGCCTGTAGCGGGCGCGAGTTGAGGCACGATTCAATTTGAGCCAGCAGGGTGGCCATCTTCTCGAACGTCAGCCTGGCGTCGCCGATGACGCGCCGGAGGTGGTGCTTCGCCGCCTTGACGGCCGCCTCCCAGAGTCCACCGAAATTGGGTGCTGCCGGAGGGTTGAAGTGCCATTCAATCTTCTCGGCAGCGAGCCCTTCCCCGATGCGCCGGCCCTTCTGATCGCTAGCTGCAAAGAGCGCTCGCAGTTGGGTGTCGGCGCCCACGAAGTTGGTGCCGCAATCGCTATAGAGGGCTCGACAAAGTCCACGGCGTGCGATGAATCGGCGCAGCGCGGCCAGGAAGGCGTCGGCGGAATAATCGGAGGCTACATCGAGGTGGACTGCGCGGGTGCTGAGGCAGACGAAAACCACCAGGAAGGCCTTAGTCGCGCGCTGCCCTCGGCCCTTGGAGGTGCGCAACCACATTGGCCCGGCGTAGTCGACACCTGTGTGGAGAAAGGGCCGAGCTGGTGTCACTCGGGGTCGAGGAAGGTCTCCCATGAGTGGTTGCAGAGTCGCCGCCCGCCATCGCAGGCACGTCAAGCAGCGGTGGATGCAGCCTTTGACGAGCGCTCGCCCGCGGGGGATCCAATAGTCTTGGCGGATGGAGCCCAGAGTCAGCTGCACGCCCCCATGTAAGGTCCGTCGATGGCATGCTTCGATGACGAGACGCGTGAAGGTTGATCTTCCCGGCAAGATGATTGGGTGTTTGGCATCAAAAGAGAGGAGGGAGTGTTTGATCCGCCCGCCGACTCTGAGGATTCTCTGGGTGTCTCTGAAAGGAGTTAACGGGGTAAGTGTACTGCGTGTAGGTGGAGAATTGCCCTTAGCGATAGCCGCTAACTCCTCCTTAAAGTTCACAGCTTGCACGGCTCGAATCCAGGTCAGGCGCGCCTCCTCGACCTCGGAGGCCCTAAGGACTCGCGGGGCGGCAGGATTGGCCCGTTCTTCGGGAGCCAATCTCACCAAGGGTCGGCATCGCCAGCGACGACACCAGGCCGTGACTCGTAATAGCCGATGAAGGGTAGAGTATTGGCTCAGCATCTCGGGCTCCTGGCTCTCATCCTTGGTAGTCGTAGCGGCGTGCGTCCAGGAGCGCTGCTCGGGGAGCTCGCTCTCGCCGTCGTGGTCCCAAGCGGTCGGCCAGCTTCCTGCCTCCGCCCGCAGCCAAGTCGGGCCTTGCCACCAGAGCGGGTGGTTCACCAACTCCTTTGGTGACAGTCCTCGTGAAGCGCAGTCGGCCGGGAATGTGGTGCCACATTGCATCGGGCAACGACGTTTGGATCTCCGACACTCGGTTCGCTACAAACGTCTTCCAGGAAGCGGGGTGGCCGCGGATCTATCCGAGGGCTACCGTTGAGTCTGACCAGAGGTGAAGGGGGGAGTTAGCGGTCTCCAGGACGCGACAAATGTGGCTGACGAGCCGCGAGAGCAGCGCTGCTGCACATAGCTCCAAGCGTGGTAAAGTCACCTGTTTCAACGGCGCGACCTTCGTTTTGGCGGCTAGTAAGGTGACTTCAATCTTTCCCTCTCGAGTTTCTGTTCGCATGTACGCGACGGCAGCGTAGGCTTTCTCGGAGGCATCGGCGAAGCCATGGATTTCCCTTCGGCAAGTCGTTCCGCCTGTGAGGCCGCGGGGGACTCTGACAGTCCCCAGGAGAGGGAGTTCGCTCTGGAATTCCTGCCACCGCAGCACGTCGCCCTCCGGAAGCGGGGTGTCCCAGTCGACTCCGAGCAACCAGATTGCCTGGATCATAATCTTGGCTCGAACCGTGGTGGGGGCGAGCCAACCCATTGGGTCAAATAACCGGGCTGTCAATGAAAGTACTGCTCTTTTCGTTACAGTCAACAACTGGAGTGGCGGCGTTGAGAATGCGAATGAGTCTTCGTGCGGATGCCAACGGAGTCCCAAGGTCGAATGGCTCTCCCCGGGCTGCCACCACCACGGCTCCCGCTGCAATAGGTCCTCCGCTGGCAGATCAGCGAGCAGTGCTGACGTGTTCGCCGACCACTTCTTTAGCGGGAATCCGCCCGCCCTGCAAATCGAAGTTAGCTGCTGTTGCATTTCTTTGGCTTCAGCAACAGTCGGGGCGTCGGTCAGGATGTCGTCCATGTAGACATCCTGGCGAAGCGCGTCGGCTCCTAGGGGCCACTGGTTGGCCTCGTCGTCGGCCAGCTGACGGAGAGTGCGGATGGCTAAAAAGGGGGCGCAAGAGAGACCGTAAGTAACGGTGTTGAGCCGAAATTCCATCATGTTGGCGTCTGGATGATCGCGCCATAAAATCCTCTGTAGGTCTCAATCCAGGGGATGGACGCTGATCTGCCTGTACATCTTTTCGATGTCAGCGGCGATGACGTAGCGGTGGCGACGCTATCGCAGCAGGATGTCGGCGAGCGCGGGTAGCAGGTTTGGTCCAACCCTCAGATGCTGATTGAGCGTCTCGCCCGTCGACAATTTGGACGAGCCGTTGAAGACGACTCGCAACTTGGTCGTGGTGCTAGCTTCCCGCATCACCCCGTGATGAGGGAGGTAGCAGCGTTGCCCTGGATCTGCTTCCGCTTCCGGTAAGACTGGCGTCATGTGATGTAAGTGCTCGTACTGACGCATGAACTCAGCATAGAGTTCCTGGAACGGTGCATCTCGGGCAAACCTAACGTCCATGTGCTTTTGCACTCGCAAAGCTGAGCGACGTGTGCTGGTGAGGTCCGGCAGCGGCTCGACTACCGGGAGGCGCACAGTGTAGCGTCCGTCGGGCCCCCGAGAATGCGTGCTCCTGTAGTGCTCCTCGCACTCCTGGTCATCCTTGGAGGTGGTGGCGGTGGTCATTGGCATGTCTTCCTGCTCCCAGAAGCGGCGCACCACTCCCGAGAGGTCGTCCTCAAGCCGGCACTGGTGGGTATGCGTTAGTAGTGTGGAGGTATTTTCGCTGATTGCTCCCGACAGTATCCACCCCAGAGTCGTATTCTGAGCTACAGGTTCGGGGCGCTCTCCTCTCCGTAGGCCCTGGCGGAGGATGGCAGCGTGGACTTCGGCTCCAAGAAGGATGTCGACCTGATCAGCGGCGCTGTATTCCGGATCAGCCAGCTCAAGGCCCTCTACATGTGGCCAAGTCATCGATCTGGAATCAAGACCGCCGGCGTAGACGATGAGCCGCGGGAGTACGAGTGCGCCGACGGACATCGCTGCTCCCCCGCGACGCGGTGACAGCGCGAGTACGACGCGACCCTTGGCAGTACCGGACTTCTGCCCCCCAACACCGAAGACAGTAACCGAGACGGGTGAGCGCGGCAGTTTTAGTCTTTGTGCGAGGCGCTCGGAGATGATCGACGACTCCCAGCCCTGGTCGATGAGAGCGCGCGCCCGATGTTGTATGCCGTGACGGTCGGCCACGAGAACGCGAGCGGTCGCGAGTAGCACGGTGACCGGTCGGTCGGAAGGTCCTTGCGAGACGAGCGACGATTTCGCGACGGTATTAACACGACAGGCGTCATGCAGCGACGAGTGATGACGCGCGTCACACACGGAACACGCCCTTTTAGAAGCGCACTCGCCCACTTGGTGCCGGCCGAGACAGTTCAGGCACAATCTACTTTCCTCGACGATTCGCTTCCGTTCTTGGGCCGTCTTCTTCTTGTACTCCTCGCAGAGCATCAGAAAGTGATCTCGCTGGCACAGCGCGCAGCGACCTCGTTTGACCTGAGGTTTGCTCTCTTGTTTGCGGGCGAGGTGGCTTCGAATGGATCTTGGCGTGCTGGACTCTAGCTTGTAAGCGGGACCGTCGAGTTTTATCGGCTGCATCGATTCCAGGGCTTGAAGTCGTCTATCTAGGAACAGCTCAAGAGTGTCGAACGACGGAGGCTTCTTCGTGTCGCTTATGTAGTTCTCCCATTCGCGGCGCGACCGCGAGTCGAGAAGTTCGACGGCTAAGTACACGAACAAGTCCTCGCTGCAGTTGATCGGCCGGCCGATGTTTTCATGTGAGCTAACAGTTGACTTTATGCAATGGAAGATTTTCCTGAGCTTGGACGGGGATTCGCCCTTCATCTTCTGAAGCGAGATGAAGTTGGCGATATAGGCGCGCACTAGAAGGCGTTTGTTCTCATAATAGGAGGTCAACATCTCCCACGCGCTCTCATAATTCTCGCCCGTTGTGGAAATGTTACGTATGAGTAATTCTTCCTCCCCCTTTAAGCAGGTTTTCAAGTAGTGCAGTTTTTCAACCTGCGCTATCGACGTGTCCTTGCCGATGATTGACAGGAAGAGGTCTCGGAACGCCGGCCAGTCCTCGTATCTCCCGGAGAAGTTGGGAAGCTGGATCCTTGGTAGCGTCGTGCGGGAGGCGAATCGGGGATCGTTCCCGGAAGGCCCCTCCGGAGACATTGGTGATGCTGGCTTCGTGAGCGCCTCCTCCAGCTCAAAAACCGCCGCACGTTGGAAGACATAAACTTCCTCAGCCTGCCCCAGAACGTCCTTTGTCACGTACTCGTGTTTCCTGATCTCCGCTCCATAGTCGGCGACCAGTAGCTCGTGCTGCTCCTCAAACTTAGCCCATTTAGAGTCCAGTAGCTTGAGCGTGGTTGCTACAAGCCCCTTATTGATTTTGGCTTGTCCTGCCTTTTTTAGATTGTCGTACGTGCGAGCGATACGACTGCAGAGCTCGTGTTGCGTTAGAATTAACGCTTCCATGTTTTCTTTTCAGGTTCCGTTCGTTCCTTTTCCGGGAAGCACAGGAGCCACTCACCTCGAATTTCAATACGCACTCAGCGGATGTTTATCGGCTGCATCGATTCCAGGGTGTGAAGCCGTCTATCGAGAAACAAGTCCTCGCTACAGTCGATCGACCGGCCGATGTTTTCAAGCGAGCTAACAGTTGACTTTAGGCAATGGAAGATTTTTCTGAGCTTGGACGGGGATTCGCCCTTCATCTTCTGCAGCGAGATGAAGTTGGCGATATAGGCGCGCACTAGCAAGCCTTTATTCTCATAATATGAGGTCAACATCTCCCACGCGCTCTCATAATTTTTGCCCGTTGTGGAAATGTTACGTATGAGTAATTCTTCCTCCCCCTTTAAGCAGGTTTTCAAGTAGTGCAGTTTTTCAACCTGCGCTATCGACGTGTCCTTGCCGATGATTGACAGGAAAAGGTCCCGGAACGCCGGCCAGTCTTCATATCTCCCGGAGAAGTTGGGAAGCTGGATCCTTGGTAGCGTCGTGCGGGAGGCGAATCGGGGATCGTTCCCGGAAGGCCCCTCCGGAGACATTGGTGATGCTGGCTTCGTGAGCGCCTCCTCCAGCTCAAGAACCGCCTCACGTTGGAAAACATAAACTTCCTCAGCCTGCCCCAAAACGTCCTTTGTCACGTACTCGTGCTTCTTGATCTCCGCTCCATACTCGGCGACCAGTAGCTCGTGCTGCTCCTCGAACTTAGACCATTTAGAGTCCAGCAGCTTGAGCGTGGTTGCTACAAGCCCCTTATTGATTTTTGCTTGTCCTGCCTTTTTTTAATTGTCGTACGAGCAATATGACTGCAGAGCTCGTGTTGCGTTAGAATTAACGCTTCCATGTTTTCTTTTCAGGTTCCGTTCGTTCCTTTTCCGGGAAGCACAGGAGCCACTCACCTCGAATTTCAATACGCACTCAGCGGATGCCGGTTGCGAGGAATCCGGCTCGAAGGACCAGAAAATGTGCGCGATTGAACGCGAGCGCGAGGAACGAAAGGACTCGAGACACGCAATGTTACTTCACAACTTAGTCAGTCTATATTTAAAGCAATAAATATATGTACAAGTTCGTAACGTTTAAATTACTTCGTTAAATTTACTCTCGTTTCGCGTCAGCTAGCGACCGACCATGAAATTTGAATCCGCGAGCGACGGGACGATCTCGGCTCTAATATTCGCGAGCGACGAATAATTAGCGACGGAGAGATCGCGAGAGTGATATTCACGAGCGATGAATATTCTCGAAAACTAGCGAATTCGCGTACCACGAGCGATGGTATAAAGGCAAAGCGAGCTACTTTAACTTTTGCGAACGTTTTCGAAACGGAGAAAATCACACACTGTCTCGTCAAAATTATCGGATCGAGTGCGCCCGGCGGTTCCCCGAGAGAGCTTTTATACAACCGTTCCTTTTCTTATTCTAGAACATTCGACATGTTTTTCGCGAAAGATCGAGCTTGCTGTTGTTTGCGATGATTATTTAAAATTGAACGTTGTTATTCTCATTTGTTTGTAATTTTGGCTCTCTCGGGTGTCAATTTGTTATTAATTTCGGCTCTCTCGGGTGACCGCTGCGTGGCCCGCATCGATAGGCACGAGCGATGCCGCGGGCCGGGCGCGATTCGCGTAACGCCGCTTTTGGAGCGCGCTCCTATTGGTCGCGCGCCGTGCGACGCGCGAGATGGCTGCTAGAGCGCCAATTTTCGAGTGCGCTTAGCCGCCCTTCGTTAGCGCTCTCATTTGGTCTTATAATTGCTCTAGTTTTTATGACCGTTGGTTCGATTTCGAACACACTTACACACATTACCGAAATCCACATATAATTTATTTTGAATATAATTTTTTTCCATCTTACATAGAATTACGTTGCTGAAATTTTATAATTTACACATTTTTATAATTTGTAGATTACATTAATAAAATTAAAAACTATATTAAAAAGATCATCGAATTAATTAATCATATAACGCAGTAAATGATTGATTGATGTCTCGTATTTTTGAATCGAATATTTAAGCATTCGCAGGTGGAAAATCGAAATCAATTTATTAATATGCGATCTTCACCTATAGAAAACTTGATGTTTTAGTTTGATTCG